GAGCCATCAGCCCAGAGCCTGACGTGGGGCTCGAACTCACGGACCACGAGATCGTGACCTGGCTGAAGTCAGACGCTTAACCGACTGCGCCACCCAGGTGCCCCAAAGCCCCTACATTTTAGATGATCATTAAAGTTCTTTCCCATTTGGAACTGCTAATGTTTTATCTGAATTTCAACTGAAGTTATATTGGGAATGAAAAGCCGATTCATGTGAAAAGGGGACATCATCGGAGGAATTTAGGCAAGCACATGGTGGCAGACTCACTGGCATGGTGGTAGGGAAGATATGTTCCAAGTCCATCTCCACAGACACAGCTATGTGAACATGTGGAGGGAACTCCAAATGGTAGTCAAGAACATGTCATTAGTGCGAGAGAGACCTTTGGCTAGGGTCTGGGCTCAGCTCTACCCTTTATGAATTACCTGAGTAAGTTGTTTAATCTCCCTAACACAGTTTTTCTCATCCATAAAATGAGATCAATAATGGCGCCTACTCTCTGGGGTTACTGTGAGGATAAATTTCGTAGTAAGTCTGTCAAGCTCCTGGCACCATAGCGTTAGCACTGTGAGAGCTCATTTGAACACAGAGATGTTTGATGAATGAATGAATGAATGAATGCACGCATACATGAATGAATGAATAAAAGAACAAATTGATCAAAACTAGCTTTCTGCTTTGGACATCTGGAATGTCTTTGTGTCAGTTAATTCAGTTTTAAGTATTAAAATTCAGGTTTGTGAAAGCAAATTACTTGGAGATGCAAATAATCAAATTCTGATTGTGATCTAGTTCCATCACTTTTGAAGGAATAAGAAAAAATGAGATGCTAACATAACCTGAATGACTTTCATTTAGAGAACAGAGCGTTTGTCAATTTAATATTTTGTCCACGAACACAAAACCCTCTTGAGAAAGGGGGCTTTCAGAGCGGTGATTCTCAAACTTCACTCTCATTAGAATCCCCCGAAAGTGCTGGCTGAAGCATGGTTGCTGGGACCCATCCCCAGTAAAGTCTGAGATATGGCTTGAGAATTTGCATTTCAGACATGCTGCCTGGTGATGCCGATGCTCCGGGTCTGGAGCACACACTCTGAGCATCGCTTCTTTAGAATAAAGATGATTGTAATTAAATTTAACTCAGTTACTTTATTTGGGGAGCAGAAACTAAATACAGAATGGTGATGAAAAGGCATTACTTAGAGACTTATTTCAGCTCTAAATTTGAGTTCAACCATAATTATAAAACTTGTGATTCTCTCCAGGTATTTGATTTATTTCTCTCTAATCCTATTTTTAACACGAATATGCTTTTACTGTTCAAAATAGGAACAGACCTTTTTGTATAACATTGGTTGTATTGCTGAACTTATTTGTAAGCGATTCTTGCGCTGGTAGTGTTTACACTTAAACATGTTTTCTTGCTTTTGTTGTAGTACGGAAGAGAAGAGAGCAACTGGACAATCATAGTATCCTAAATGGAAAATACAGGATATCATCTGTGTGCTATGGAGACAAACTGTCGCAGTTGAATTACAATAGATTTCTTTGGCTACCTGTTTTTAGTTGTGCCTAATGTAGTTTGTGTTATCAGTTGTTACCAGGTGATTGTTTCCTCATGCCAGAGAAAATGAATTGCAATCATCAAGTGGTATTTTGTAAACTCAGTGTTAAAAGCTTACTTCACCTTCTCTTCAAAAGATGATAATGTAAGCCATACGGCATAGACTTTTCCTCAATAATCTTAGTGCCTCCCTTATTAGTTTCCTCAGATACGAAAATATTTTCTTCCTTAGTATAAGTTATGTTCTGCTCCTCAACCAAATGAGTTTCTTTGTGTTTGAAAACTGATCTGAGTAGATTTCATAGGTAATGTTTCCTGTGACGTTATCTTCATCTTCAGAAAATGGCTGTGGGTTTTTGTTTTGTTTTGTTTTGTTTTTTGTTTTTTTAATAATCAAGACTGAAAAACTGGTATTTCTGCTTTCACATTTTTCTTTCCAGGCCCCTTAAATCCATCTTAAAGAGTAGATCTCCTTTCTTCCTGATGTCACAGTCTCCTCCAGGCTCTCCTTGTGCATCAGCAGGACCTGTGCACATCTCCACCATTGTCCTTTCCACATTGTATTGTGATTGGCTGTTTGTCAGCCTCCAACACAAGACTGAGGCTCTTGTGCCTTTGAGATCTTTGTATCCCCCTGCCTGGCACATAATAGGTACTCATTAAATAATGAATGAATGAACATTTAGCTTCTATAGAAGTGTACCTTCTTTGTTTCTATATTATGAAACCTCTTTATTAGAATTTGTGGTTGATTCTGACATTGTGTCCATTTACCTCACATTGTCTTTATTTTCCAGGGACTGCTAAGTCATTAGAGATACTCAGAGGCATAGTTTGTTGGAGGGATTATTTCATATTTGAAGACTGCCTTGGAATTGAAATAGCAGCTCTAGAGAGGTCATGATATCATACCAACCAAATGGAAATGACCTTTGTGAAGTGTTAAATACATATATGTTACATGTTAAATACAAAATAAAGAATCATATTTAGCTTTTGGTAGAAAGCAAAGGGGTATACTTTGATATACCTCATTTCTGTTGAATGGGGCTGGGAGGATCACATGGTTAGAGTACAGGAGAGCGATTCTAGATGATCTTTTCCTCATTTAGGAGCTGTGAGTTAAAATTGAATCCTGGTTTATAATTTAGGGGAAAGTCAGTCAAACCTTGCTAGAAAACGTTTACCCTTGGAAGGTCAACTCTCAGACATATTTTGGTTTCCCTCAGTTCTAGTAACTTTCATCTTGCTGATAATATTTCATTCTCTTTTCAGAGCAAGGGGAAAAAAGACCTTCTAAAAGTTTGATGTGTTAGAAAAATTTCCTTAAGGCATTTAGCAGCACATAGCAAATGGGGCTTTGATTCTTTTCCAAGACTTTTGGCCATAGGGTTCTTTTAGATAGGAATGGTAAAATGAAAATTAGGGAAGTATATAAGATGAAAAGGAATAGTAAAAATATCTTTTAGGGGGCTTTTAATTGGTGATCTGAAGTCTTGGAAGTCTGTTCTTTTCAGGCCTCAGGTGCTTTAACTGTCCTCTGCACACTTCACCAAGTAGTGTTCTAAGGGTATGCATTTACCTTGGCTAAATCCTGTGACCTCCTTTTTAAAGCAGTAATCTAGAAAAGACTTGCAGGTAATTCTAACCTGTCAAGTAGCACTTAATAACTAGACCTACATTTCTATGAGAAATGGAAGTCATTTGTTTGCCATAAATACATTTCACACTTTGCATCTCTAAATTTAGTATGGCAACACATGTCCCTTATAAAAGTTAGAGAACAACATGTCTTGACATTATGTCTCTATGATTTCTTTCATCAAACCTTAAGAGCATTTTAAGCCCTTTCTACCAGATGGAGTGAAAACTAAGGATATATATTTTAAAAAACTGGAGGTCTCCTAAAACTGAGAGAGCGCAGTCTGCCATTTTCTTAAGTAATAAGACAGAAAATTGACCTTGACACTAACTTGTTAAATAGATTTAAAAGGAACATCTGCACATCTTTTTTCCTTGTGCACTATTTGTTTAATTGCAGTGGATTAATACAGCAAGAGTGACACATTATAACTAGGCAATTATCCATTCTTCAAGACTTAGTTATCCTAACACTAATTGATCATTTATGGTGTAAGATAGTCTAGCATTAGGAACATGTGAGGCTAATCTGCTCAAAAAGATCAACAAATTAATATTGTTGCTGATATTTGCATAATTGGCTGCAATTATTTAATGTTTAATTGGGTTGATCAAATGAGATTCAACAATTCACATGTGCATGAATATAAACAGAACTGGTGGCACTTAGAATGATAATGATTAACTTATTTTTCATGTTCTCTTCCTCCCACTTTTTTCATGTTTTACATTTCAGACCAAGTTTGTCAGCTTTTTCCTAAACACATTGGTAGAAACCGGGATCTTTTTATTATTTTTTTAATGTTTATTTATTTTTGAGACAGCATGAGCAGGGGAGGGGCAGAGAGAGATAGAGACAGAATCTGAAGCAGGCTCCAGGCTCTGAGTTGTCAGCACAGAGCCCAGCGTGGTGCTTGAACTCACAAACTGTGAGATCATTACCTGAGCCGAAGTCGGATGCCCAACCGACTGCGCCACCCAGGCGCCCCGAAACCGGGATTTTAAAATGAAGTGTTCAGATATAAACAAAACTTGGGCATTTCCTAAAGATATTTGCTATTAGAATTTTTTTTATTGTTACAGTCATTTATTAAGGATTCAAATCATGGATGCCCCGAAAGAAGCATCAACGGCAGGGGTGTGTGCCATGCTCTGAAGGACCTGCAGCTGGCAGAAGTGAAATTAATAATACCTGTTTTAACCTTTGCTTTCAAAAGTGCAAAGGAAAAGTAAACGGGAAAGAGAAATAAGCGAATGAGAAAACTTGTTAGGAATCATGTTGTTTTTTTTTTTCCTCCCTGGTAAACACCCTCTATTCTTTTCTCAAAATGTTGCCATAAGGTAAAGGGAAAAAAAAAAAAAAAAGATGACAGACAATAGCAGCAGGAAAGTACAGTGAACGCCACTTACATGCCGTGCAGCGTCAGCACTCCTCAAGTTTGGGGAAGCCTACGTGAGATGCCCTAGGATCAGGTTTATTGCTTGATGTTATTGTACCTAAATGAGTGGTCTTGCTTCCTTCAAATTGGCACTCTTGAACACTTGAGGCAATTAATGAGTATGTTTTGGTCAAAAGAATTATAGGAGCCTCTTATGAAAGCAGTAGATTGAACTCCACGTTAGGGGGTTTTTGCTATAAAATCAGCTTCCAGAGTAAGCTTATTTGTTCTCCCTATTCCCACACAGTTACTGTATTCTTTTTCCTTAAAAAGTTCCTTTTTAAGAGCATACATTGAGTTTACCATTACGATTGGGAAAAATGTATTTTAGGCAGAAAATAACAATACTTGTTCACTTGTTTATATTTTCTAAAATATTTAGGGCAATCAATATTTGTCAGATGGACTAAAGCAAAGGGCTTAGGGGTCAGAGAAACATTGTAAGGCTCACTTATTTTATATTCAGATGCTAAATGTGATCAAAGAATTCTTCCTTGTAATGTGGATTTCTTATGTGTATATTCAGAAACTTAAGTTACCAATAGTAATGCTCATGAATAATTAGTGGATAATTCATAATACCTGTCACTTTGTGTTTTTACAAGTAGAATTTGTTCACCTGTTTTCCAGATATCTGCTCCCAACAGAGAGTACCAGCTTTTCAGTAAGGATTACCTATTAATTGACAAAGATCATAGAGATTATAGTTAATTTGATAAATGTTGGTTGAGTACCCACAAATTTGCATCTAACACAGCTGGTGGTAGGGATTAGGAAGTTAGTTTTAGAAAATAGTATATAGACATTATCCTCGTGGAGTTTATACTCTACTAAAATTTTTAGATAAAAAAAGTGTTATTTAATGCAGTTAGATAATAGATGATGACTAGAACACATCTCTTATCAAGAAATCACAATGAACATTTCCATCTCATTTTTTAAGGAAATTCGTCCCTTTTTCCATTCCTTTCTTCTACTGCACAACTACTCGGTAGGATTAGTATTTAGAGGGTTATTCAACCACCGTCTACATGGTGCGATTCCCTGTTGGTTTACCGCTTACTTCCAACCTGCCTAGTACATTTGAAAACTACATTCTCTGGAGCAATGTTAAATTGTCATGGTTCATCTAACAAAAGATCATCTGAAATTACAGCATCCTTGCTGATCTTAAACTCAAAGCCAGATATTATTGAAATAAAATGTTCCTAGAATGAGTTTTTCTGGAAAATGTCTATTATGAATCAAACTCTTTAGAGCTTTGGCTTGAAAATGATGGATCCAGCTACTCAGAAAATCACAAGTAGAGGACTAATATAACAATGACTTTTCATGATTTGAGATTTTAAAAGAAAGGACATTTCACGTATTGCAAAGAGATTCGTATTCATCATGGCCAAAACACGCTTTAAAAAAATTCAGAGGTAGAAGAAAGTGATTTTTCATCCTTAGTGTACATACCACATCAAAAGACTTCAGATATTAATTTGGGGAGCTTGATAAAAAACATATCAACATGATGTAATTGTGTTTGTGGGTAAATAATTCTGTGGGGTCAGATAGAAGTACATACATTTGCTTTCGTGAATGATTTGAATGAATGATTCAAATGTGAATGATGAAGGCATGAAATTTGGTATTAGAAAATGAAGCGGTCTTTAAAATCTGGATGCAGTTGAAGTCTTAAGTAAGCCTTTTTCTGTCTGGAAGTATATGTTTCATACCTCTGTAGACCCTATGAATAAGGCTTAAAGCTTAAGTTGTATAATGTTCCAATTTACAGAATCCACTGTTGGCATGTAAGACTTGACTGCAAGCTGTGGTATGAGAATGAATTAAAATGTAGTTTCAATGACAGATTTCTCTGCACATCCACTTTTATAATGGCTAGGTTCTACTATTAAGTTATGGGGCAAGAAACTTTTAATTAGAGAAGATGTCAGAAGAAGAACAACTGAAGGTAGAGGAAGAAACACAGGAAAAAAGTCAAACTTGCTTCTGTGTTGTCCAGAGAAGCCTTGTCCTTATTCGGCCAACCATAGGGATCTTTAGCGTTCAACATAGGTGCCAAATACCAATAGTGCCGAGGAGGAAGTGGCTAAGTATAAGGGCCAGTTCATTAGGTATTAGAATTAGGCCATGATCTCGAGATAATAACCTGATGGTCGTGTTATATGGAAACCACTGTACTACAAATTTAGAGAAGACTGTATAAATCCTTCAACTACTTAAGATTTGTGAAGCTTCTTGAGGCTGAAAAAATAAGTGACAAGGAGTACATTGTGACTTTTGCACAGCGGGGGCGCCCCCCCCCCCCGCGCGCCTTAGAAATACAGTTTACCACCATCCCCTTTTCCTTGGTGAAGGCTACCTGATTTGGAAATGAGTTGAATATTGTCATTTAGTTTTTAACTAAAATGTGCAACATGCTGCAATTTCTCCAGGTTAATTTCACAGCAGTCATTCTCAGGGTTAACAAAGGAATGCATATATCTGCCTCAATTTTTACGTCTTTGGTAAGTTTCTAAAAAGTGCAGGAATTCTCTCAAGAGTATGGCTATAAGATTTCGAATGAAGTCTTAAAAATAAGCTAGCTAATCTGTATGCATCTG